GGCAAACTACGTTTTTACGGGAATTTTATTTTGGTGACCATTTCATACTATGTACATTGTGCATAGACGATAAAGAGGACGTTAACATTTCGATTATATACCAACACAGAAAAATAAAATATTCTATTCAACTTTCAAAAAGAATCTACTGTAACTGGACAAAATATCAAATTATAAGGCAATGAATGTATATTTTTGTAAATACTTCTTTCGGTTTTCGGTTATTGGCCCATAATTATGAAGATAAGTATATGAACGATTCATAGTTCAGATCACCAAACACTGCAGATAATACAACTAGGCTAGCCTAGTCCTGATGATACTACGGTCTACGTAGCGAAACACGTCTGCATTAAATTACTGTATTATCTACAGTGTTTGGTGCCCTGAACCATGAATCGCTCAAATACTTATCTGTACATTTTTGTTTTGCATGTCTGTGCGTTTGAGACAAATCAGAGTAATTCAATTTTAACAGGTATCGCTAAAACCGACAATTTTTTAAATGTTATTTGCAATACTCTAACGTACTTATATTTGCTTCAGACACAGCAGAACAATCAATACCGTGTGCTTAGATAAATGAAGTGACATTTTCATCAAGCACTTGTAAGATCCCTTTTTAACGGCAGTACAACCAGATGTCCACGAGATGATTTACACAGCAAAAGTAACTTATGCACATGAGAAAGTCGCTATGATGACGCTTACCTTTCAGAGCTTGCCGGTCGACTTGTTCTTGGTTTGTGAATGCATATTTGGTTAAAGCATCTCCACAGAAGATACAGCAGACCGACGCTGAATGGAGTGAAGGTATCAAACACTTTAAAAACAAAATTTCCCCCGGTTGTGAGTATAGAAAAAGCACAGCATGCCTGACAAAGATACATTCTTTTCGACAGTATTTCTTGCAATTTATGACCTCTGGTTCCGGGAATCCTCTAAAACGATGCAAGAGGTCAATTAGTTTAAAAGAGCGAAACAGAAACGGTTCATACTCCGTCAGCCATAACCATGTTGACGCCCTTGCCGTCGGTGACCTTATTGACGAATTCATGGAAGCGACGCAGGTTTTCAGGGTTTGTGATGTCACCGTCGCCTTCAGTGCCGTCAATGCCGTAAAATGGCTCGAACATCTCCGGACAGGCTGCAAGAAACTTATCCAACCGAAAGTCATCTTTTCCCTTCAGTGTAAAACCGAAACCGTGCCCTGCGTTTTCGCGTCGCCATAAAACATACTCACTGAATCCGCCCGGACCAGAGCAGAGGTCAGCAAAGTAGAATATCTCGTCTGAGCTTTTGGGAAACATCGATCTCTAAACAAGCACAAACATTAACAGAATTATTTCGAGCAGTAAGGAGGCCAATGAGGTTAATCCAAACATTTTATTTAGTAATCACGTACCAACAAAAAAACCAAATCTAAATTTCGAACTATCGATAATACAAGTTTTAACTTTTAAGTTTAAGCATGCGGGTCCCTTAATAATTATAATTTATTAAAAACTGTGGGCTGTCAATTACTCGGGCAACACACTTGCAAAAAAATTTTACATAGTATGAACTATAAATGAATGTCGACGATATTCATTAAAAACTATTCGTCTGCTGTCCTTTCTTTCCATCGTCTGAAAAACTGATGTCATATATATATTCCAATATGTACCCATATTAATTTTTAATGTTTTCGATTTCCAATTTTAATTTATATTCACACGCCTTGAAATATAACATTGGTGGTATGAACATTACCTTAGCTCGTAACCTCAACCAATGGATAGGAAGCAGCAGTACTCTTCTTAAAATTCCAGATGTTACTAGCCGGGTCGTTAATTTAAGTGCTCCATCAATTGACTTTAGTTGGCGCTGATGGCCTCAGCTCACTGTTCCGAGCGCACTGATCATCAAACGAATCACTTCAGCGCTTACTTCCTAGATCATTAATATTTCCATCCACAAAT